TTTATTTCAACTTATGTTTAGGGAAAATATATTTGTTAGTTTCATTTGATTGCTTTTGTTAGTACTTAGTGCTTGCATTAAAAGAAGGAACTAAAGAATAGAAAAATATGTGCTAAACTTTAGAGGCTGCTAGTTTATTGAAAACTAGGTGTACTTTGCTTATTAAAAATAATATTCTAAAATACATAAGTTAGGTATAACATCTTAAATGGGAAAGATGAGTGTCAGTTTCTCAGCTGTTCCATTTGGTATTGACGAGAGAAACGAAATTTCTACTTTATTTGCTTGATGTTACGAAAATGTTGGAAAAGAGTTCTTTTTTTTGTTAGTTGTTTTAAAAGAAAGATAATGTAAAAATGTTGCTTCAAAATTAACAATAAAAAAAGTTTAGGATAAACAAAATCTCTTTGGCTCTCAACATTACCTCAAGGCAGGCAACCAAGAATAAAATTTGTAATATTATCTGCCTACATTGACCAATGTATGAAAATTTCGTTTTTCAAATTAACACTATATTGGACATATTACGTATAACTAAAAAAATTGAAAATCATCATCTCCCCTATAAGGAGTTGCTAGCTCCTTTATGAATTTTAGGTCATATGTTTAATAGGTAAGATATACTTATTTTTTGATATACTAGTCTTCAAAGGTACCTACTATAAAATTTAATAAAAAGTGAAACAACTTGTTTACTTCATTAGGGTATAAATACAAAACAGCTAAAAAGTATAAAGATTTGAAAACTATGCAACTTTAATCAAAGAAAGTTTTTAGCCAAATTTTACATTTCTTCAAAATATAGGTAGGTGAGTAAAGAGATGGGCACAGCACCCTCAAAATACTTTTAAAGTACTTGCAAACCTTTTCAAACAGCTTCAAGCCCTACTAAAATTATGTAAAAGTGCTCTCTAAGGGCTAATTGCATTACAGATCAATCTGATGTTAAATAAAACCAATTAAATAAGGTGGTCTTGTAAAATGATGTATTTAAATATGTTTTCATTATTTTGAACTAATGAGGGTTAACGCGCTTGAATTCACCACGAGAGGTGCTAGTGTACGGAAAGGTCAATGTCACTGAACGTTAATAGTAATAGTGCATCTGCCGATCCGTTAAGTGAGTTCCAAGACTATTTTAAGTATGCTTGTATTATAAAATAAAATTTCTTCACAAAGGTTAAAAGACCTCTATCGGTTGACATTATTGCTTGGTGATGTAGATACAAAAATATACTATAATAAGTATAAGTCCATATACAGACAATTACTAAAAGGAGCCAAAAAAATTTACAACGATAATATTATATTAACAGCAGAGAATAAATCAAAAGCAGCTTGGAATATCATTAATCCTAACAAAAATATTGCTAGAGACCCTCCTACACTGAAAATAGATAATGAATTAATCACTTCCCCTGAAATAATAAGTAATAGTTTTAATAACTATTTTAATAACATTCCGAGAACATTAATTAATAATAATCAACAACAAAACAATAGTATAATAAAAATTGAAAATAATACTTCCTCCTTCTTCTTTCACCCTGTGAATGAATTAGAGATAGTTAACATAATAATGAGTTTAAAAAAATTCTAATTCTGCAGGAGATGATGTAAGTGTATATTTACTTAAAAGATGCGCTAAAATTATAAGTAAACCCTTAATGACAATATTTAATCTATCATTGGCGGAAGGTATTTTTTCTGATAGACTTAAAAATAATACCTATTTTTAAATCGAACAGCAAGACGGAAATTGAAAATTATCGTACTATTTCTATTTTAAGTTCATTTTCCAAAATTCTTGAAAAATGCATAGCGACCAGAATAATTCAATTCTTTGACAAATACAAATTATTTAACGAAAACCAATTTGGTTTCAGAAAAGGACGCTCTACAATTTCTGCAATTACTAAATTCTTAACAAGTTTGTATGACAACATGAATTTTAAATACAAATGTATAAGTATCTTCCTGGATTTAAGTAAAGCGTTCGATCTAGTTTGTCATGCATCTCTAATAGACAAGTTGGAGAGGTATGGCATACGTGGTCGGACGCTGAACTGGTTTAGGAGCTATCTGAGTGGTAGAAAGCATTACACCGAAATCGAAAACTACAAATCAAACTTACTAGACGTAACAGTGGGAGTTCCATAAGGATCTGTCTTGGGACCCTTACTGTATATTATTTACGTAAACAACTTTGAAAGTAATAATGCAGTATTATTGGCAGATGACACATCTATTCTTGTCAATGCAACTAATACTAACGACTTGGTAATCATGGCTAATCACCAACTATGCAAAGCACACCCATGGTTCACCGAAAATGGTTTGGTCTTAAATAGTAACAAATCCATTTTCATGCGCTTCAATAGTAGTAATATGTACTATGACCACAGTTTACTAATTAAATCCAATACAAGTACAATTACACAAGTAAAGTCAACAAAATTTTTAGGTTTGCATCTCACTGAAAACTGCTCGTGGACTGTTCATATTAATGAAACTTGCAAAAAAAGTGGCTCCAACATGCTACTGTATTAATCAGTTAAGGAACATTATTAATGAACCAGTGTTGATATCATTCTATTATGCACACTTTAACTCCATTGTCAATTATGGAATTATTGCTTGGGGTTCATCACCAGAGGCAATACGGGTACTCAGGTTACAGAAGAGAGCTGTGCGCTTTATTGTGCGAGCGAGCAGGAGAATCAGTTGTAGGAATATTTTTAAACAATTGGGAATTTTAACTCTTCCTTGCCTGTATCTACTAAGTTTACTACTCTATGCGAAATCTGAATTACATAACTTGAACAAGCTTAACTTCAATCATAATTATAGTACAAGAAGTTCCTCTACTTTAGAAATCCCAAAACACCGACTATCTTTGTATGAGAAAAGTCCCAAGTACTTGGGCATAAAAGTTTTTAATAAATTACCAAACTCTTATAAAACTCTAGGTGACAAGGAATTTAAAAATCAAATTAAATCCCATCTAAGGAATAAATGTTATTATTCTTTATCTGAATATTTTGATGACGAATTTTAATTCAAAATTTTAATCAATGTAATTACATGTACCTTATTAGGTTAAGTATTACTGTTTTGTTTTATATTTGTTTTTATATTTATATATCGGTCTTTTACCTATGTATGTTGGACTTATCCTATATCATGTAAAAAATGATCTACTGGATGAATAAAGATTATTATTATTATTATTACTATTACATCAATAGATGTCGAACGGTCGTTCTCAAAATATAAGCATATTTTTTCACCACGTCGAACATTACTCTCGAACAACCATAGAAATATACATGATGCTGCAAAGTTTTTACACATATTTTCCAGTTTGTGATAACCAAGCTAGTTAAGAGGGTAAGTTGTGCATACACTGTTATAAATCGTAACAGTTTATTGCTTCTATTACTAGTTAATTTCTTTTCTTATAATTTATTATGGTGCGTACGCCAATTTCCTGGGGCGCTTTTTTGCCAACTCTACTCATGTGCTATGTGCAAGCCTTTAGCATAGTCTAAGCATATTATTCAGTATTAGTAAAAATAAAAACTTTAACAGTTATTTACGATATGTGGGATAAGGACATTATTAATGCATGTATTACGAAGAATTGGGGTAATCACATAGTACGTTCATAATGTAGTATCCCCCTAAAATTGTCTTAATGTAGGTTCACATTGATAGAATAATAAATTAATCAAGGTGAAAATAGTATCTAAGTTCTTTCAAAATGATTGCAACGTATAGTCATTTATCTAACCCCGTTATGAAATGTCAAGTTTTAAATGCATTTCTGACGTTACAAAACGTCATATTTTTCATAACTCAGTCCCATTACATAATTGAGTGATGTAATGAATTTTTACGTAACTGATTATTATCATTTTCCTATTTTAAAGCAGGATTAGATAAAATTTTGTACTTAACACGTTATGAAAAGTAATTTTACTTGACCCATGTAATTTGCAAAACTCGCTCGCTTCGCTCACTCGTTTTGGCAAGTATTACATTCATCAAATAAAATTAGTCTTTTCATAACTGGTTACGTAAATAACTATTATGATCGCGTTTTAGTTACTGAATAACAATAAATAACAAAATTAAATTCTAAATTTTTCGGAGGTAAAACTAGCTGATACTAGTCTTGGTAACCAATTCTAGTTGCACAAGCACACAAGTGAAAACAGCCAGTGTTAAGGAAGGGGTTAATTTATATAACTGTTCAAATTATTTATTTTTGAGTTATCAGTTTCATTACCACACTAGTGTGGTAATATTTTCATTACCACATTCACTGGGATAGCAAGACTACTACATATCTAAGATGAGGGCGATATGGTTAAACTTATCCCACGGTGATAGATAACTAAAATTATTTTATGTAAGTAGACACAATGGAATCAAATTGGAGGTTAATATGGAAATTTTAAAAGGGATAGGTAAAAAATCCTATATCAACCCTCAAAATCTGTTCCCATTATACTTACATAAAACAATTAATTGTCTAAAGTTTTTATACATTTTACCAATAATGATTAATGTGCTTAGACTATACTGAAGTAATCTCTGCACATAGGTGATTAGATAATTATTGTAAAAATTATTAGTAAATAATAAAATAATTGTAACCATGCAATTTAATTGGGCAGCTTGTAAAAATGAAACATTTGTAGTTCATGAAAACTTACATCAGTAATCGTGAGGAAATAATGAGGATATTCGGAAAGTACAAAGGTAACCCTCAGGGCAAATCCAATGCAATACAAGAGAATTAAGAAATACTGAGGCACTAATGTAGCTGAAGCATCATGTGATTAAACACACAGGTAATACAACCCACTGTATCCCTGACGGTACCACAAGGTATCTTGTGTGGGAGAGGGCTACACATTTAGAGACAATGGACACACCCAATGTCCGAGTATGCTAATATTATAGTATTAATTTCTGATTTAGAAAAAAATCCTAGCTCCTCGACTAGGGATCAAACATGGGACTCCAGCATGATGGGCAAGTGTCTTTACCACTCGACCACAAAGTCATACCTGAAAACATATTATATTACCCGTGAAAACACTACACAGAAAAGAAATAGTTTAACCTTTTTGGTCAGTGGTTTACCCCACATCTTTAAATACCTATTTGTTAACAGAAGAACGTAATATATAAATATAAATACAAATTTGAATTATTAGTATTACATTTTTTTAGCACTTTAACAATTAAAAATTGATGTTTATAACCTACTAAATCAATTATGTAGGAACACGTATATTACAAATCTTGCTTCAGAATCTGCAATAAATCAAGTATCCCGTATCCCGTGGGTAGTTTACCATAAATTCTGGTGCAAGATTTGTGCTTCTACAACATAATTTGGTGATCAACATTTCTTACTTTTCGTTTTTGGTATCACAATTTAGGGAAAATAGAAACAAGTTATACAATATTAAAAACATCATTTACATAATATTAATAATGACATTTCAATCCCCACCATGCCCCCATTAGAATGCCTCACCTTAAAACTTGCCTTAACCATATTTTTGCAGATTTTGCCAGTAAATACAATTTATAAGAAAAATAATTTTAACAAATATGCTATGTGCATTGCATTGCCTATAAACGGGTCAAGACACAGCCATTAAGACACTGCAAAACATTCGAAATAAAGTGAGCTAGTTCAGTGAAACTCGCAGATTAGCATCAAAACATCAATGGAATATCAGGCCCAAAAATATTATAAAAAAAACATACTTTTTTAAAACAATTATAGTGTAGCCAACATATGCATCTGGATACAAATAAATCATAACCTAGTTTGAATATTTTAAAAATACTTTCTGTCATTTGTCATTAAAAACATACGTGATTAACTTCATTTCGCTGAATGACCCCATTGGATTAGGTAACTAGTAGAGATAGGTATTTTTGGATTTTTTTTTTTTGCAAAATATCTGAGAACATTCTTTGAAAATTTTCTGAAAATTTCCCAGCCAGTTTTTTTCCAGGCTAAATTCGTAATCTACTAGTAAAGCCAAATTAATTATATCACACACGACTGATGAAATTATATATACAGCATCCCAAATTGATTGTAATCAGGGGATGACACATTTCTGAAACAAATAGAACGAAATGGATTACACACTCTTTACCTCGTTTTGAGAGAATTCCAATGGTGAAGGTCACATTTCGATATTTCTTCCCGTTCTCACACTATCTGTCAAAATTGACTATTTCCACTTTTTTTCACCTGACACTGCTTCCTCGATAGTAGAGGTTTTATGATGGGATAAAAACTTCTTTGAAACAAAATTTAACATAGAATTGGATTTCAAAATGAAAAGTAGTCCCAGCCTACTAGATTTTTGTCTACCATGGAAAATAGTTGGCTATGCTTATATGCTTTTCTATGATATTATGGGTTTCCATTGTTTTGACAATTATATAAAATTTTTAGAAAAAAAAACAAGGAGAGTGGAAAAATTAATGATAATTCTCTAAAAGAATGAGGTAAAGAATGTGCAATCCATTTCGCTCTATCTGTTTCAGAAATATGCAAAATCCCCTGATGATTATAAGTAATTTGGGGCACATCTTTTTCCATAATAGCAAAATTCTCATTTACCATTTATAATAAAAAGAGAAATTATCAAAAGCAAAAACGCCTGTATAAATCAACATAATAAAAAAATTAACCTGGCCTAATGAAATGTTTTATTTCAAAGAGTAACATATAAATGAACCAGTTGACTACATTAAGTATGTACTATTGAACACATTTAAAAAAAAAGTCACCTAGAATCACCATAAATTTTTTGAAAGCTGTTCCAAGCCACTGATTTTTTCTAGGCACTCATTATAAAATTATCTGTAAAATTATAAAAGTAAACTGGTCTGATTTGAAATTTAACAGAAACATCACTTTCAGCATGCCAGTTTCAAAATATTACGTGAATAAGATATTCCCGAGGAAACTTTTAAATATTCCTGGGATTTCCAGAAGATTTCCATTTAGACAATGTTTCTAAGTGGAAAATTTCCCATTGCTCATTTCTAGTAATGAGTATCTTTAAATTATCTTTCTTGATACTCTGATCAAATTTTTTTTATTTTCTAAGTTAAGAAAAATCTGCAGCTGTACCATTACGGGTAGATTTAAGGGTGCAGTACCATTGTGAGACATGGTGGGGTTTCCTATACTGTTAACACTAATTTGCAGATGATCCCTAGAAATTGTTCCTAGTTTGACTAATATTTTATCTATCTTAACAGATACAAAAACTAAAAACAATGTATATATTTCTTAAACCATATGTAGTTATTTTTGGAGTACCAGCTCACATTTAAATAAAAAATTTATTAGACGAATTCTTCATGGATTATTTGTATTTTATCGGTGCTCGGACAAAAAAGAACAAAATATAATAATTAGTTAAAAAAACACTATTATACATGTAGCGCTTTTTTTCTTCTTCAAAGAGATATGGACATTGCATGGTTCAATGAATATAAAAATGGAACATGCTGTTTGAATCCTTACTATGTTTCAAATGAAGATACACTCCTTTCTTTAGCTTAAAAGTAGCACAACAATCCATTCTTGCAGAGTTTCTGATAAAATGTGACTGAAAAATTGCGTTACTATAGGTCTGTTCCTTTCGTCTGCACTTCAACACTTTTCACAGTTACCGACCAATAGAGGAACCTCAGATTTGAAAATGACCAATCACAGTGAATTTTCAGCTGCATATAAATTAAAGTGTAGACGAAAAGAACAGACCTTATATCATTGGTAATTTTTTTTTAACAGGGCTGCCAACAAGAATACAGCAAGCGCTGAATCAACTCGAACAGGCATTAAAGAAAAGCAAATGATGTACGTATAGATTATGTGGAGTATTGATGATAATTCTCACTACAGGTGGAGAGGGTCATAATCCATACACATCAGTATTTGCTTTCCTTTTAATGTCTGTTCGACTTGAAGCAACTCTCATTTTATAACATATAACACCACAGAAATTAGGCAACCCCTGAATCCAAAGCAAAAACTGTTTGGCAGGCGGATACACTTAGAAAAACGTGTGGACATACAACCATTCCCAACAACATTGCCAGTGCCAGTGGCGGAATTCGAACCAGCAGCTATGACAGATAGATTTCTAGTCATGCTTGCCATCGCGTAATCTAGCTAACTATGCCACTGAGATAGAATAGTTTTAGAACTTTGCTATTTCAATGACTAGAGGGTGTTTCAAAAAACATGTGCCATCATTTAAGCAGATTGCTCACCCAAAAATAAGACAAATAATTCCTATCAACATCCACTCTTGCTTCGTCTCTGAAATACACGGTGTTAGTTTTCTTATTTTTTCAGTTTTTTCAAAATATTTCCATGTCTTTAGAAATTTGAGCGATATTTAGATGTGAAAAGTACTACACATTTTAGTATAAAAATGGTGTGAATAACTTCATCAGGGGCGTGCGCACGGGTTTGCAATTTAAAAATTTTGTTAAAAAAATATGTACGCCACTGATTCTTTTACTTTTTGATTGCACAGTTATGTAGGTAGTTAAATGCCTAAAAAGGTTACCTCTTGATATTTCTTCGATTACGGCTTCGTTTAGGAGACATTTTAAAAAAATTGAAACGATTAGAAAATTTTAATACAAAGAAACAAAGCAAGAGTAGACCCATGTTGATAGGAACAATTTGTCTTATATTTAGGTGAGGAATCTCCCCTTAAGCGCTGCTACATGATTTTTGCAACACTGTATATAAAATTTTAGTTGTTAATATTAGTATTTTATTATCAGACTGACGTGCAAGTTAGAAATGTTAAATGGTCATTATTTTTTATTGTATAAAGTAAGTAGCACAAGTCCAATGTTATTTTCTATAATATTGCACAAGCAAATATAAACGTCAAGGGTGATGAAGTTCTTCAATAATATAGCTCTGAATTAAATTCTAACATTATACCTAGGTACACATTTTCCATTTTTTTAATTTCTTTCTATTATTTTTTTATGTTTTTATTTTTATACTCTTTAGATCTTTATTTATATTTATATTTATTTTTTTGTGAACTCTAAAAATTTTATAACACTTACCGTATGAACAAAAAAATGTTTGAAATTTTTGGCCTCTGCTTTAAGATTTTCACTCCAAGGTATCTCCCCTTTTAAATTCATCGTCACTGGATCAACATAATACAGATGAGGACCTAATGTTAACAAAAACATCCGCTTTCTGGCAAAAAGGCCTTTCTTCTTATCAATTAAACCCTGTTTAAGTATTAAATTACCTTCAACAAAATTATGATAAAGATTACTCTTTTGAGCTTCCAATCGTTGTTCAATCTCGGCTGGAGATATATCGGTAATCTTCCTACTAGGTTGAGACTTTTTTACGAGAAGGTGTTGAAGCGGGTGGCAATAAATCTAATTGTAACCTAGAAACCTTCTCTTCGTCTAAACCAGGCTCCAAGTGATCAGGAATTATATTTTCACTTATATTATCACAAAAATCAGAAATTTTTGGAGGTGGTCCCATGTTTTCCCAATTAAGTCCTTTGAAAAGTTCATGTTCCCTTAAACTTGTATAAGGTTTAACATCCGTTATACCTAGACGCTTATCAGGCACTATGACTAATAATTTTTCTACTAAGTCTTTAGCAACTTTATCGAAACCCTCTGGATATTCATATTCCAAATTGAGAATCTTTTGAAATATTAAATATTCACTAGGCCCTCTGAAAGGCATAAGCCCTGAGACCATTTGGTAAATAATGCACCCCAGGGCCCATAAGTCTGAAGCGTAGGACGAAGATGTGTCAGTGAGCATCTCAGGACTTACAAACTGGGCGGTTCCTACAAAACTATTACGTCTCCTACGAAAATTTGTATCACTATCATTATCACATTTTTCAGTGTCCTCTTTAACTATTTTAGCACTGCCAAAGTCTGTTATAAGAATATGCCAGTTGTCATCAAAAAGCACATTCTCAGGCTTTAAATCACGATGCACAATTC